CAGCTGTTGCAAACCCTGCTGCTGCCAGTCCAGCTGCTGCAAACCCTGCTGTTGCAAACCCTGCTGCTGCGAGTCCAGCTGTTGCAAGCCCTGCTGCTGTCAGTCTAGCTGTTGCAAGCCCTGCTGCTGCCAGTGCAGCTGTTGCAAACCCTGCTGCTGCCAGTCCAGCTGTTGCAAACCCTGCTGCTGCCAGTCCGGCTGTTGCAAGCCCTGCTGCTGTCAGTCCAGCTGCTGTGCCCCTGTGTGCTGCCAGTGCAAGATTTGACTTTTGGCCTTTCAAGCTTCTTACCAACTGAGCACATCTGGTTAGAAGTCAAGAGTGCTAGCCAAGATTTTGCCTAGCCTTCCTCATACCCCTCAACGTGTCCTCTACCAGCACCCTCTTCCACCCCTCCACCACACACAAGCTAGCTCTTCAGTCTCCTGACAAGAAGCATCACCATGGCTCTTTTTCTTCAAGAAGAATAATTTCCCCTGAAGACATGCCCTGCCCGCTCTCCGGGTGTGGTCCTCCATCCCCCCACTGTCCCCTCAACTCTGTCCCTCCTTCCCAAGCCTGCTGCTCCCCCAACACCATCCCTGTTCCCCCCCCGGAGCCTCTAGCAGCTCCAATATCTGTCCTTTAAACACCTAATAAAGCTGTTCACTCAGCACCTGTTGGTGTGCCTGTCTATGGGGTGGGGGGAGATAACACCTCAGGCCACTGCTGTTCCCTGAACAGACAGGAGACCATGGTGTGGCCTGCTGGCCGGTGCAGCCTGCTCCTCCCTGAGCCCCAGGGGCCGTCCCACCCCTCGCTGGGCACAGTGCCTGCACCCTCTCTATGCTGGGACAGGGCTTTGCTCTGATGGGGCAAAAAGCGGCCCCTGGGGTGATGCTGGCCATCGGATCTCCGCCACCCTAGCCAGTGTCCAGCAAAGGTTTGGTGGTGGGGAGGTGTCCGAGCAACTGAAGGAGATCGCTGGTTCCATCCCCACAGCCTGGTCCACACGCAACAGCCCATCACCCAAAGATCATCCACTGAGCACGGGGTTTCGGGTGACCTGGGGGAAATGGGGACGGGGCCCTCAGGGCGACCGGGGAAATGGGAACAGGGGCTTCAGGGCGACCTGGGGGGACACGGGACGGGGGCCTCAGGGCAACCTGGGGGAAATGGGGATGGGGGCCTCAGGGCAACCTGGGGGAAATGGGGATGGGGGCTTCAGGGTGACCTGGGGGGATATGGGACAGGGGCTTCAGGGCAACCTCGGGGAAATGGGGACAGGGGCCTCAGGGCCACCTGGGGGAAATGGGGACGGGGGCCTCAGGGCAACCTGGGGGAAATGGGAACGGGGGCCTCAGGGCAACCTGGGGGGACATGGGAACGGGGGCTTCAGGGTGACCTGAGGGACATGGGACGGGGGCTTCAGGGTGACCTGAGGGACATGGGACGGGGGCCTCAGGGCAACCTGGGGGAAATGGGGACGGGGGCCTCAGGGCGACCTGGGGGAAATGGGGATGGGGGCCTCAGGGCGACCTGGGGGAAATGGGGATGGGGGCTTCAGGGCGACCTGGGGGAAATGGGGATGGGGGCCTCAGGGCAACCTGGGGGAAATGGGAACGGGGGATTCAGGGTGACCTGGGGAAAATGGGGATGGGGGCCTCAGGGCAACCTGGGGGAAATGGGGATGGGGGCCTCAGGGCAACCTGGGGGAACATGGGATGGGGGCTTCAGGGCAACCTGGGGGAAATGGGGATGGGGGCCTAGGGTGACCTGAGGGAAATGGGAACGGGGGCTTCAGGGCGACCTGCAGGGACACGGGATGGGAGCCTCAGGGCCACCTGGGTGGACACGGGATGGGGGCCTCAGGGCGACCTGCGGGGACATAAGCACTCAAACCACTCGGTCCCCAACTCACCAGGCCACTATGGTATGGCAGACACACCCATTTTCCTCTCTGTCCTTGAACTTCAGGCTGATTCTTTTCTTTTTCTTTTTCTTTTTTTTGTCGGTCGTGGGGCCTGAACTCTGGGCCTGGGCATTGTCCCTCAGCTCTTCAGCTCAAGCCTAGCCCTCTCCTACTTGAGCCACAGTGCCAATGCTGGCTTTTTCTGCTTATGTGGTACTGAGGAATCAAATCCAGGGCCTCATGCATGCAAGGAAAGCGCTCTACAACTGAGCCACCTGATTCTACAGGTCCTGGGACTGAAGCTCACAGAGCTCTGGTTGTTTGGGGTGGAGAGACTAAAAGATTGGAGGGAAGGGTGGACGAGGCAGTGCAGAGGGAGGGATCAGGCTTCCACTGGAGCCAGAGACAGAGGGGTGGGCAGGTTTGGGGGTGGAATGGGGAAGACCCCACAGCCTCCCTGGGTCCTGGCCACCAGGCCCTGCTCACAGCTGGGCGTCAAGACTCCTCTGCAGATGTCCAGACTCTGAGGGCTCACACCTGCCCACACTCATGTCCCGGGCTCTGCTCAACCACTCAGCTCTCACACCAGCTCCTGCAGTTTTGGCCAAACTTCGGGTTTGGTCCCCACCCAAATATGGTGGGTGACACCAGCAAGTGTCCAGAAACAGCAGCCCGAGGGCCGCAGCCTCCACACCCCTGGCCAGGTGCAGGGCAGCAGGCGCAGCCTCTCCACAGGTGGCAGGACAGGTCTGTGGAGATTCCTGCCTCCTTGGGAAAGAGGTGTGCCAGGAATCAGCGCCCAAGCAGGACAAGGCCACAGACCCAGCTCTGAGAGCCCTTCCCAGTGGGCACGGAGCTGAGAGCCTTCGTGCAAGCTCCAGCCCCACAGCCCAGGCCTCCCCGCACCACAGTCTGCTTCTCCTCTCCCCCGCCCGCCCTGCAGGGGTGTCCTCAGTGAAGCCCCACCGATGCCTCCTTGCTCCTCTGCCCTCTGGGTGCATCAGGCTCTGTCCTGACCTGCCGGCCACCCACCTGTCCAGAACTCTTCACCCCGGCTCCCAGGAGGCCCGTCACCCAAACACAGAGAAGCCTCGGGCAGGTCACCTTTCTTCCTAGAACTCGGTGTCCACATATGCAAAATGAGCTGCTTCAGCTGGGCACCAGTGGCTCGAGCCTGAAATCCTAGCTACGCAGGAGGCCAAAACGTAAGAATCATGGTTCAAGCCAGCCCAGGCTGGAAAGTCCATGAGACGCCTATCTCCAGTCAATGACCAAAAAGCCAGAAGTGAAGCTGGGGCTTAAGTGGCAGAGTGCCAGACCTGAGTGACAAAGCCAAGGAACAAGCTCCAGGAACAGCACACATGTAAAAACACCTCCTGTCTCAGGAAAGGCTGAGACTGGCATGCCACGCAGGCTGGGGAAGCCCTGGCACAAAGCTTTCCCTGCGCTGGCATGGCGGGACCCCAGTGTCTCCGGTGCAGTGGCCAGGCCAAACCGAGGCTGTTTCCAAGTGTGCCCTATGTGGCTCTGTGGGCTCTGGCTGCCTGGATCTGTGGGATCAGTGGGGTCTGGCTGCGTGGGTCTGTGGGTCTGGCTGTGTGGCTGTGTGGGGTCTGGCTGCGTGGCTGTGTGTGGTCTGGCTGTGTGGCTGTGTGTGGTCTGGCTGCGTGGGTCTGTGGGGTCTGGCTGCGTGGCTGTGTGTGGTCTGGCTGCGTGGGTCTGTGTGGTCTGGCTGCGTGGCTGTGTGTGGTCTGGCTGCGTGGCTGTGTGTGGTCTGGCTGTGTGGGTCTGTGTGTGGTCTGGCTGCATGGCTGTGTGTGGTCTGGCTGCGTGGCTGTGTGTGGTCTGGCTGCGTGGGTCTGTGTGGTCTGGCTACGTGGCTGTGTGTGGTCTGGCTGTGTGGGTCTGTGGGATCAGTGGGATCTGGCTGCGTGGGTCTGTGTGGTCTGGCTGCGTGGCTGTGTGTGGTCTGGCTGTGTGGGTCTGTGTGTGGTCTGGCTGCGTGGCTGTGTGTGGTTTGGCTGTGTGGGTCTGTGTGTGATCTGGCTGCATGGCTGTGTGTGGTCTGGCTACGTGGGTCTGTGTGATCTGGCTGTGTGGCTGTGTGTGGTCTGGCTGTGTGGGTCTGTGTGTGGTCTGGCTGCGTGGCTGTGTGTGGTCTGGCTGTGTGGGTCTGTGTGGTCTGGCTGCGTGGCTGTGTGTGGTCTGGCTGCGTGGGTCTGTGTGGTCTGGCTGCGTGGCTGTGTGTGGTCTCCTTTGAAAACCACCTTAAGGAGCAAAGGTCACACCACACCTAACAAATCACTAGTTTGTTAGTAGCAATCCATGTGTGTCTGTGCTTCCCTTGCACTACAGTTTTTATATCGTGACACTCAAGCTGGAGACAATGGAATGTACCACATTCATGGAATAAGAGGGAGAACAGAGAAAAGGAACTCTGTAAAATTCAACATCTATTTGTCACTTCAAAGCAGAGCCAGCGCAGCTAGGTCAGTGACAGAATGCCTGCCTAGCCTGTGTGAGGTCCTGGTTTCCAGACTCAGTGCTGGGGGGGAAGGAGGGGAAGGGGCAAGGAGGGGAGAGGACACGGAGGAAAAAGAAAGAAGAAACAGGAAGCACACACGGGAAGAGAGGTGCATGCAGGGAGGAATCTCCTGGGCTGCAGAGGATCGTGGAGAGGTGGGGTGAGAGCCGGCGGATCTCCGTGTGTGTGTGTGTGTGTGTGTTCACCGCTGAGCACCTGCTGGGAGACTGGTGGTAGGGGTTTGGACTGAGGCTCCCTGCACAGAGGCCAGGGCCACAGCTGCCTCTCCTGGTCCCCCACCCTGACAGCCATGCACAGGGTGCTGAGATGTCGTCTGCCAAGCCCCCACTTTGCTGAAGGGTCCCCCAAAGCTATAGCAGGCAGCTCCCTCAGTGAGAGCCAAGCCCCACCTCCAGATAGCCAGTTAGAATTCCAAAGGAAAGATATGGAACCAACCCAGATGCCCCTCAGTAGATAAATGGATCAAGAAAATGTGGTATATATACACAATGGAATTCTATGCCTCCATCAGAAAGAATGACATTGCCCCATTTGTTAGGAAATGGAAAGACTTGGAAAAAATCATATTAAGTGAAGTAAGCCAGGCCCAAAGAAACATAGGTCCCATGGTTTCCCTTATTTGCAATAACTAGTATATGTCTGAGTCAAGCAGAAAAGGTCAGATAATGTGATGTTAGGAAAATCAACCTCAAGATAAGTATTCAAATTTTTTCTCTTTCATGTGATTGTTTCTAACACATTCATAAGATGATTTCTTTGTTGCTTTGTATGTCCCTCCCCCACAGTATAACCCCTGTTTTCACTGTATTTGATGTTGGTATAATTTGTGGA